GGGGAGGGAGTCGTCAAGGTGTTGTTGTTGTCGGGGGAGGGAGTCGTTAAGGTGTTGTTGTTGTTGGGGGAGGGAGTCATTAAGGTGTTGTTGTTGGGGGAGGGAGTCGTTAAGGTGTTGTTGTTGTTGGGAAGGTGGTTGTTAAGGTGTTGTTGTCGGGGGAGGGAGTCGTTAAGGTGTTGTTGTTGTTGGGGGAGGGAGTGATTAAGGTGTTGTTGTTGTTGGGGGAGGGAGTCGTTAAGGTGTTGAGCAGAGGTATAGCAGCGAGGAAAGAAGTTGAGTGGGCCCCATCTCTACCCCACCCCCACCTCCGCCCTATACCACCCCCCCTCTACATCACACCTCAGCCCTCACAACACCATTCCTGACCCCCTCCCCTCCCACCACTCCAATCCACTCCGTCCCCTCCCGACACCACCGTTGACCTGCTAATCCCCACCCTCTCCGACATCAGCCTCCTCTCCCAGCCTGCCCCCTCCCTACATCACCTTTCTGACCCTCCCCACTCCCCACTCCCCACTCCCCACCCTCCTCCTGCTCTGTTGTGGTCCAGTTGAGGAGAAGGCAATGAGCCCCTCCACTCAGCAATACACCTCATTGTGATCATCACCTTGTAAAGGGACCTCATGGTAAGAGGGATCAGGGTGAGGTCCACACTCAATGGGATGTTGAAGCTTTTCTTGAACAAAGTAAACTTTTAATGAAGTAAATCTGATTTTGATTTGGTTCTATTTGATGTTTGATTATAATGAGCATGAGGAACAATATCTGAACTCAATCCAGCCAATTATAAAATAGCATTCTCCGTACCTTTGCTTTTGTAATTTGTTCAATGCTGGAATTTAAATCATCTGTCTCCATTTTAAGTTCACTCTTCTCTTTCTCCAGTTTCTGTTTAACCCTTTGCAGGTTGTCAATCTGCTCACTCAGTTCTGCCACCGTATCAGACTGCTTCTTCCTTAGAGCTGATGCCGTTGCCTCGTGTTGCAGTGTTGCCTCTTCCAGATCCCTCCGAAGTTTCAGGAAGGCCGCTTCCCGTTTCTTGTTCATCTCCACCTGTGCTGACGTTGCTCCTCCTGCTTCCTCCAACCTCTCACTCAACTCCTCCAGCTCCCGGGACACATCTGCCCTTTGCTTCTCCACCTTGGCCCTTGCAGCGCGTTCTGCTTCCAACTCCTCCTCAAGCTCTTCAATTCGAGCCTAAATACAGGGACAAAAATAACTTCATTTGTCACATATTGAGATGCATCTCTGCAAATGGACTATTTTTAGAAACTGGAAAGGTCCTCATGATTAACATAGAACTCCTCCACATTAGGATCCAGTGACTATCTTAATGTGATTGTGGAGTATCAGCCTTGATCTTTCTGGGATCCTACTGGAATGAGATTTTAAATCAGAACTTCTGGGGGTCTCACTGGGAAAACTACTACTGAGCTACAGCTGAGTATCTGCAATTCACTGACCACAGACATGCTCACCTCAGCTCCCTGGGTCTTAAGCTCTGCAATTCCTTCACTACATCCCTCCATCACACCTTCCTCTTTTAAAAACCTAACTCTTTGACCAAACTTAATTACTTGTTCCAAACTATCCTTATGCAATTGCTGTTACACTTTGTTTCTAGATCACTTTGGAGAGGTAGCTTGGGTGTCTTTGCTCTGCTGAAGGTGCTTTACAAATACAGGTTGTTGTTGATTTAATCCCATAGCCCAATGCTTATAAGAAACTAGGCAGAAGGATTAAAATATTCATAGCAGCCAGGAGAAAAGTGATGGTACTGTTTCCCCACTGCACACATCTATACGATTAGTGACAGGTACACCAAAGCACAGGGAATGGGAAAACGGGAACACCAAAGCACAGGGCATGGTGCCTGGTACAATAATGTACATGGGATAGTGATTGCTATGTTAATATACAGAGCCACAGACTGTAATCAGCAGCTCGGCCTGCACTAGCAGTAATGAAACTAATTGTTGTTGCTCCTGTGCCAGCCATCACCCACAGAGTGTAAATGGAATACTTTGCTGTGATTAAGAGCATTAAGAAGATGCTGGCGCTCACCTGCAGTTCTTTAATCTTCTTCTGGAGCTGAGCAACAAGAGCCCCTTCATCCTCAATCTTTGAGTTTAACTGACTTATTTCAAAGTCCTTCCTGTGAGTAGAAAAGGAATGAAATGTCCCATTAGATGACAGCTCAGGGGTTACACTCTGATTCACGGAACAGGATTGATGTTCATGACATTTAATTAGTAGGTGTATCACACATGGGTCCACATTAATAAAACTGATTGGGAGGTTTTGCTGAAGTCATAATCTGTTTACTGAGCTCCTCCTCCTTTGTGTTAATTTCCCTAAACCTTAATGATCAGAGGAGTTGGTCAGGGAGTGCTTAAGCTGTTTTTCAATGGCGGGGGGTGGGGTGTCATCAAATGTGCCCAGTCTTTCCTCACATGAGGGTCTGTGTGTTTGTAATGTGCATCAGGCTCCTCAACAAACATCAACTTGTCAGGAACAAAAACAGAAGTTGCTGGAAAAGGAGAAGTTTATAGCAGGACTGGCAGCATCTGTGAAAAAAAAATCAGAGTCAACATTTTGGGTCTAGTGACCCTTCCTCAACATGCCAGGGGCCACACAAGGAATTGTAACCAACAAATTGACTGGCCTGAGGGAACTCACCTACATTGAAGCTGGTGCTGAACGATTCTATGTAACTCAGAATCACCCAGCAATACAGCACAGAAAGAAACCACTTGTATCATGATTCAAGTAGCAGCTCTTTAAAATGCTCTCCAATCATTCCCATTGCCACCGTCCCTGGCTTAATCCCCATATTCCTATAAATTTCGCCTTTTCAGGAATTAGAAAAAGTCTTTTTGTAAATTATTATTGAATCTGCTTCCATCGCCCCTTCAGGGAGCACATTCCATATCACAACAAATCATTGTGTTAAATAAATTCCTCTCATTTTCCCCTCTGGATCTGTTTCTGATTCCCATCAATTTGTGTCCCTCTCATTACCAACGCTCCTGCCACTGGAAATATTTTCCCCTGATTTCCCCTGTCAAAATCCATCACAATTTTGAACAACTGTATCTTCACAACCACTCACAAAGTAAAAGAAAATATTGCAAATGCTGGAAATCTGAAGTAAGAACAGAAGATGCGGGAGAAACTAAGCAGCTCAGGTCATGTCTGTGGAGAAAGGAACATGGAGATTGATTCAGGATAATGACTACTCAGAAGATAAAAAGCCATCAACCTGAAACACTAGCTCTGTTTCTCAGCCCAAATATTACCTGATCAGGTCAGATTTCCAAAAGTGTTTGGTTTTGTTTTATCCTCTTAACACAGGCTGTTTAAAGCAGAATATCTCCAGTCTCTGTGTGGGACTGAGGTCTTTCTTCATTTTGTTCAATGTTTGCTTCTATGCACTGGATTGAACAATTGCTTTCATTGGTACCTGTTGATTGAGTTCAGTGATTTCAATCACACTGTTCAACAATCAAATGAGGGGACCCTGGTGTTTGTGTTGTGAATCTAATGAGCAAGATACAGTGTCACCAGTTAGAAAGCAAGGAAGACCCAGTCACAATGCATGATGTCAATTTGAAGGAAGAGAGCTAATAGGAAGCACTGGTGCTGTTTTACTGAGTGGACCATAGACTGGAAACCACAGAAACTGAGGCCATTTGGCAAATAATGTCCATGTCTATTTTCTGCTAAAGTGCAACTCATTTAATCCCACCCTCCCTGCCCTTTCCCCTTGATCCTTCACAACTTTACTGCAAAGATGATGATCAAGTTCAATTTTGAAAGCCAGAATCAAGTGGTTCAGACACTATATGAGAATTTTTAAAAGACCCAAAGAACTGCGGATGCTATAAATCAGAAACAAAAACAGAAATTGCTGGAAAAGCTCAGCAGGTCTGCTAGCATCTGTGAAGAGAAATCAGAGTTAACGTTTCAGGTCCAGTGACCCTTCCTCAGAACTGACTGTAGCTGGGGAAAAGATTAAGAATTGTATTCTCACTTTTTCAGCCTCTCCTCCAGCTGCTGTTTATCATTCTCTAAATCCATGACAGACTCATGTGTTAGTTTCAAATCTCCCTCCAGTTTTCGCTTGGCCCGTTCCAAATCCATGCGGACTTTTTTCTCTTGTTCCAAAGACCCTTCGAGCTGTGGGAAAATTAAAGGATGTTGGTTAGTATTGGACAACAGTGAACACCAGCTTCGAGCAGCCACTGAGAATTATACAGGTAGACTGTCAGCACAGAATAGTTTCACAGGCCCTCAAGATGCTGAATATAGCAGAAGGTTAAAATAATAGAATTACACCACGATGTTAACAGAACAAATGTAATTCCCAATTTAAATCAAAGTTTTATATACTTTCATTCTGACTAATGAATTTCTGGTTCTTCCCAAGTTAAATTTATTCACTTTCTCAGGAATCTAGACCTTTTTCAGACACTGCCCTAACCTGCCAAAGGTAAATGATGCCTTAATTTCACAGGAAGAAGGGTTTGGGGAAACCTCAAGACAGGAGCAGTTCGAGCAGGTGCTGGAGAATGGTCAGTGCTCTTTCTGAGAAAAGGCAGCATCTTAACCAGTACCAATCCAGAGCAGGCAAGCAAGACACCAGTCAAAGGTCATCAGGTAGTGCCAGGTGCATGAGTGAGTGGGCAAAAGTCTGGCAGATGGAATACAATGTAAATAAATGTGAAGTCATACATTTTGGTAGGAGTAATAGTAAAAAGGATTATTACTTGAATGGTAAAAAGTTGCAGCATGCTGCTATGCAGAGGGACCTGGGTGTCCTTGTGCATGAATCACAGAAGGTAGGTCTGCAGGTACAACAAGTAATTAGGAAGGCAAATGGAATTTTGTCCTTCATTGCTAAAGGGATTGAAATAAAAAGCAGAGAGGTTATGTTGCAGCTGTTCAAGGTGCTGGTGAGGCCACACCAGGAGTACTGTGTGCAGTTTTGGTCTCCTTACTTGAGAAAGGATGTACTGGCACCGGAGGGGGTGCAAAGGAGGTTCACTAGGTTGATTCCGGAGTTGAGGGCGTTGGCTTATGAGGAGAGACTGAGTAGATTGGGATTATATTCATTGGAATTCAGAAGATTGAGGGGGGGATCTTATAGAAACATATAAAATTATGAAGGGAATAGATAAGATAGAACTAGAGAGGATGTTTCCACTGGCAGGTGAAGCTAGGACAAGAGGGCATAGCCTCAAGATTAGAGGGAGCAGATTTAGGACTGAACTGAGAAGGAACTTCTTCACCCAGAGGGTTGTTAATCTATGGAATTCCTTGTCCAGTGAAGTAGTTGACGCTACTTCAGTAAATGTTTTTAAAGATAAGGTAGATTTTTTTTGAACAATAAAGGAATTAAGGGATACGGTGAGAACGCGGGTAAGTGGATCTGAGTCCACGAAAGGATCAGCCATGATCTTGTTGAATGGCAGAGCAGGCTCGAAGGGCCGGACGGCCTACCCCTGCTCCTAGCTCTTATGTTCTTATGTCTAACACAGTGAGTACCGTACTTGGTGTCTGTAGTATCTTTATCAGGGGCTTGGCTAGTTTTCATTCGGCAATCTGATTGGGCATGAATGGGTTTCAGGAGCTGCTGGACACCACCCCCACACCCGAGATCTCTGGCTTTTCAATCCTCCAAACTTCCAAACACCCTAACAAGATGAAGGCATAGTTTTTGGTGGAATTTGTCCTTGGCCCAACCATCTTCAGCTGTTTTATCAATGACCTTCCCTCCATCATAAGGTCAGAAGTGGGGATGTTTGCCGATGATTGCACAATGTTCAGCAACATTCATGACTCCTCAGAACTTCCCTCCATCGTAAGGACAGAAGTGGGAATGTTCACTGATGATTGCACAATGTTCAGCACCACTCGTGATTCCTCAGATACTGAAGCAGTCCATGTTCAAATGCAACAAGATCTGGACAATACCCAGGCTTGGGCTGACAGTCAGTAATTAATATCTGCGCCACACAAATGCCAGGCAATGATCATATACAACAAGACTCTAACTATCACCCCTTGACATTCAATGGTGTTACCATCACTGAATCCCCCACTATCAACATCCTGGAGGTTACCATTGACCAGAAACTGAACTGGACTCATCACATAAACACAGTGGCTACAGAAGCAGGGCAGAGGTTAGAAATACTGTGGACAGTAACTTACCTCCTAACTCCCCAAAGCCTGCCCATCATCTACGAGGCACAAGTCAGGAATGTGATAGACTGCTAGGAGATAGCCAAAACTACAGATGCTGGGAGTCAGAGTCGATATAGTGTGGAGCAGTCCTGATGAAGGGTCCCAATCTGAAGTGTTGACTCTCTTGCTCCTGTGATGCTGCCTGACCTACTGTGTTCCTCCAGCTCCACACTGTATCGGCTGTAATGGAATACTTCCTACTTCCTCTGGATGAGTGCAGCTCCAAAAACACTCAAAGATGTTTTTAAATTCACTTGTAGGACGTAGGCATCGCTGACTGGGCAGCATTTATTGCCCGTCCTGAGTTGGCCCTTGAGAATGTAGCCGTTAGCTGCCCTCTTGAACCATTGCAATCCAAAGTGAACACTCAGGTACACACCCTGTTATTAAATTGCTCAAGGTTCCTCATTGGGCTGTGATTTCAACATCTGAAAGTTTTAACTGGAACTTACATCATCGACTTGTTGCTCTAGTTTGGCCTTGGCTTTGGTCAGGGTGTTAACCTTGTCTTCCTCAGCCTGCAGGTCCTCCAGGGTCTGTTGATGGGCTTCCTGAAGTGCCTTCTTCTCTTTGGTGAGTTTCACAATCGTTTCATCGAGAGAAGCCATTTCTTCCGTAAGATTTTTAACCTATAAACGGCAGCAAGACAAAGAATTACAAACTCAGAGGGACAAATAACATCTCACAGGGTCAGAGGGAATCCTTAGCCATCACCCAAATGTCTTCAACAGTGAATTTCACTTTCACCAACCAACAGTTTTCTGGAAAGAATTTCAACTTATTAAACTGACCAACAGATAACGCGACATGGGTACAGTATTGATAGAGACAGGTCTGTCTCTGTATAGCACTAACGTACAGTACTCGTGGGGACAGGTCTGTCTCTGTATAGCACTGAGGTACAGTACCAGAGGGAAGCAGGTCTGCCACTGTATAACACTGGGGTACAGCACCGGTGGGGAGCAGGTCTGTCACTGTATAACACTGGGATACAGTACCGGTG